AGGTGAGAGGCCTGCTGTAGGAGCAGATGCTGATGTTTTGAACGTCTGGCAAGCTTGATCTGATGACTACTCGATAGTTTAGTGTGCCATGCTTTACGACTTAGAATCGAGACTTCAAAGACGTTTTGAATGTCATGGAGCATATGAGATGTTCCAGGAGTTGAAGTTAATATTTCAAGCAAATGCCCGAGTTGAGAGATATGAAGTCTCCAACAAGTTCTATAGCTGCAAGATGGAGGAGAACAGCTCTTTCAGTGAACATATACTCAAAATGTTTGGGTATCATAATCACTTGACTTAGCTAGGAGTTAATCTTCCAGATGATAGTGTTATTGACAGAGTTCTTCAATCACTGCCATCAAGCTAAAATGGCTTCATGATGAACTATAATATGCAAGGGATGGAGAAGACAATTCTCGAGCTCTTCACAATGCTCAAAGCTGCGGAAGTAGAAATCAAGAAGGAGCATCAAGTGTTGATGGTTAACAAGACCACTAGTTTCAAGAAAAAGGGCAAGGGAAAGAAAGGGAACTTCAAGAAGAATGGCAAGCAAGTTGCCACTCCCGGGAAGAAGCCCAAAGCTGGACCCAAGCTTGAAGCTGAGTGCTTCTACTTCAAAGGGACTGGTCACTGGAAGCGGATCTGCCCCAAGTATTTGGCGGATAAGAAGGATGGCAAAGTGAACAAAGGTATATTTGATATATATGTTACTGATGTGTACCTTACTAATGCTCGTAGTAGCGCCTGGGTATTTGATAATGGTTCGGTTGCTCAAATTTGTAACTCGAAACAGGGGCTACGGATTAAACAAAGATTGGCTAAGGACGAGGTGACGATGCGCATCGAGAATGGTTCCAAGGTCGATGTGATCGCCGTCGGCACGCTACCTCTACATCTACCTTCGGGATTAGTTTTAGACCTGAATAATTGTTATTTGGTGCCAGCGTTGAGCATGAACATTATATCTGGATCTTGTTTAGTGTGAGACAATTATTCATTTAAATTAGAGAATAATGGTTGTATTATTTATATGAGTAATATCTTTTATGGTCATGCACCCTTGAAGAGTGGTCTATTTTTGTTGAATCTCGATTGTGGTGATACACATATTCATAATATTGATGCCAAAAGATTCAAAATTGATAATGATAGTGCAACATATTTATGGCATTGCCGTTTAGGTTATATTGGTGCAAAGCGCATGAAGAAACTCCACGCAGATGGGCTTTTAGAATCACTTGATTATGAATAATTTGATACTTGCGAAACATGCCTCATGAGAAAGATGACTAAAACTCTGTTCTCCAAAATATTGGAGCGAGCCAATGACATGTTGGAAATAATACATACCGATGTATGTGGTCCAATCAGTGTTGAGGCATGTGGTGGGTATCATTATTTTCTGACCTTCACAAATTATTTGAGCAGATATGGGAATATCTACCTAATGATACATAAGTCTGAAACATTTGAAAAGTTCAAAAAATTTCAGAGTGAAGCAGAGAATCATCGTAATAACAAAATAAAGTTTCTATGATATGATTGCGGAGGCGAATATTTTAGTTACGAGTTTGGCCTTCATTTAAAACAATATGGAATAGTTTCACAACTCATGCCACCTGGAACACCATAGCATAATGGTGTGTCCAAACATCGTAACCGTACTTTATTAGATATGGTGCGATCTATGATGTCTCTTACCGATTTACCACTATTGTTTTGGGGTTATGCATTAGAGACAGCTGCATTCACGTTAAATATGGCACCGTCTAAATCCGTTGAGACGACACCGTATGAACCGTGGTTTGGCAAGAAACCTAATCTGTCATTTCTCGAAGTTTGGGGTTGCGACACTTATGTCAAAAGGCTTCAACCTGATAAGCTCGAACCCAAATCGGAGAAGTGCGTCTTCATAGGATAACCTAAGGAAACAATTGGGTACACCTTCTACCACAGATCTGAAGGCAAGATCTTTGTTGCCAAGAATGGAACATTTCTAGAAAAGGAGTTTCTCTCGAAAGAAGTGAGTGGGAGGAAAGTAGAACTTCATGAGGTAATTGTACCTTCTCTCAATTTTGAAAGTAGCACATCAGAAAAATCCGTTCCTGTGATGCCTACACCAACTAGAGAGGAAGCTAATGATTATGATCATGAAACTTCAGATCAAGTTACTGATGGACCTCGTAGGTCGAACAGAGCACGTTCCGCACCAGAGTGGTATGGTAATCATGTTCTGTAAGTTATGTTACTAGACCATAACGAACCTATGAACTATGAAGAAGATATGATGAGCCCAGATTCCGATAAATGTCTTGAGGCCATGAAATCTGAGATAGGATCCATGTATGAGAACAAAGTGTGGACTTTGTTGGACTTGCCCGATGATCGGCGAGTCATAGAAAATAAATGGATCTTCAAGAAGAAGACTGACGCTGATGGTAATGTTACTATCTACAAAGCTCGACTTGTCGCGAAAGGTTTTCGACAAGTTCAAGGAGTTGACTATGATGAGACTTTCTCACCTGTAGCGATGCTTAAGTCTGTCCGAATCATGTTAGAAATTGCCGCATTTTATGATTATGAAATCTGGCAAATGGACGTTAAAGCTGCATTCCTTAATGGATTTCTTAAAGAAGAGTTGTATATGATGCAACCAGAAGGTTTTGTCGAGCCTAAAGGTGCTAACAAAGTGTGCAAGCTCCAACGATCCATCTATGGACTGGTGCAAGCATCTTGGAGTTGGAATATACGCTTTGATGAGGTGATCAAAGCATATGGTTTTATATAGACTTTCAGAGAAGCCTGTATTTACAAGAAAGTGAGTGGGAGCTCTGTGGCATTTCTAATATTATATGTGGATGACATATTATTGATTGGAAATGATGTAGAATTTCTGGATAGCATAAAAGGATACTTGAATAAGAGTTTTTCAATGAAAAGACCTTGGTGAAGCTGCTTATATATTGGGCATCAAGATCTATAGAGACAAGACGCTCAATAGGACTTTCACAAAGCATATACCTTGATAAAGTTTTGAAGAAGTTTAAAATGGATCAGTCAAAGAAAGGGTTCTTGCCTATGTTACAAGGTGTGAAGTTGAGTCAGACTCAAAGCCCGACCAATGCAGAAGATAGAGAGAAAATGAAAGTCATTCCCTATGCCTCAGCCATAAGTTCTATCATGTATGCTATGATGTGTACCAGACCTGATGTGTGCCTTGCCATAAGTCTGGCAGGGAGGTACCAAAGTAATCCATGAGTGGATCACTAACAGCGGTCAAGAACATCCTGAAGTATCTAAAAAGGACAAATGATATGTTTCTTGTTTATGGAGGTGACAAATAGCTCGTCGTAAATGGTTACGTCGATGCTAGCTTTGACACTAATCTGGATGACTCTAAGTCACAAAAACAAATACATATTTATATTGAATGGTGGAGCTGTCAATTGGTGCAGTTTCAAGCAGAGCGTCATGGCGGGATCTACATATGAAGCGGAGTACATAGTTGCTTTGGATGTAGCAGTGTTAGCCCGGTTTTCCGTCACGGGTAATCCTCACTTCTTCTTAATCAATGAAAATGGCAAGTCTTTTGCCTTGTTTCAAAAAAAGAAAAGATAGAACCAGGAGCTTGGGTTAGTTCTGGTCCTCCAGTTGCATTAGAGCATCTCCAACTGGCGCGGCAAAAGGCGCGCCCGTGCGGTAAAATTATGTTTTAGCGTGCGCCGGCTGATTCCACGCGCTTCAGCGGTGGCGGGAAATTACCGCGCGCGGGAGAAAGCGGCACGCGGCGCGGTAGATTTGGCGCGCCGCTTACCGCGCGCCTATAAATTGCCGCGCCCGCCCCCCGCACCGCACAGCCACGCGCCCTCCCCTCGCAAACTCGCTGCCTCGCCGCTTCGCAGCTTTCCGCGCCACCACCGCGCCACCATGCCGTCGCGCCGTCGGGGTGCTTCGGGCTATCGCGGCGTCCGCGCGCGCCCCAACGGCTGGTTCTCCGCCGAGATACGGTCCGGCGACGTCCGGCTCGGCCTCGGGACATTCCGGAGCGCGCACGAGGCGGCCCGCGCGTACGACGCGGCGGGCGCTTGGACAGGCCCCGGTCGCAGATGAACTTCCGAGACGTCTTCACGCGCGAGCAGGCGCAGCGCGTCGCCCCTCCGCCGCGTCTCATCACCGACCTCAACCGTGCCGACCACGCTCGGCGGCAGCGCTGCCTCCTCCTCGTCGAGGAGGACGAGCGAGCCATGGCGGAGTGGCGCTGTCGCCACCCGGAGGACGTCGCTGACGAGCATGCCTACTGGATTAGTTTCTATCTATCTATGTATGTCGTAGTAGTATCTATCTATCTATGTATGTCGAACTATCTATCTATGTATGTCGAACTATCTATCTATCTATGTAAAATATCTTGCATCATTTTCTTTATCTATTCAAAAAAATGTTTTAGAATGAGCGCGCGCTGCATTTTTACCGCGCCTGCTGGAGCTGCGCGCGCGCGGATTGACAGCGTGGCTGCTGGAGCAAACGCTGCGCGCCGCGCCAAACCAGGCAATGGGCGCGCGCCAAATCAGTTTTTAGCGCGCGGTGCGTTCGGCGCCTGTTAGAGATGCTCTCAGAGCAAGCACTTACAGATTGTAATGACATTGTGACTGAGTATGTAATGACATTGTGACTGAGTATGCAAGAGTTTTCACACGAAAAAAGAAAAGAAAAAACTGATTTGCTGGCACGTTTTTTTTTTCTTTTCCATCACGTAGTTCTGCCCTAATCTCCACCACAAGGGAAAAACTGGTCTTGTGCGGCTGTAGGTTGCGCCGTGCCGTACATCCATCAAACTCCGGAAGACCGCCCTGCCCCACTATACCATCTCGTCAAGCCCCCAAAACCGCAAAGCAAAGCGCTTTTGGTTAAACTCATCGCCAAACCAAAGCGCCTCCTCCGAGCATCCGACGCTTCCAAATCTCTCCTTCCCTCACACTCCACCGACGCCCGCGGTGACCATGGCGGCGGAGCAGAGCGCGGAGCACTTCAGGGGCCAGGCGCGGCTGCCGGGCTTCGCGGCGCCGCGGCGGTACGATCTGCGCCTCACGCCAGACCTCGCCGCCTGCACCTTCGCGGGCTCGGTGTCCGTCTCCGTCGACGTCGCCGCGCCCACGCGCTTCCTCGTGCTCAACGCCGCCGACCTCGACGTGGCCCCCGGGGACGTGCACTTCGCGCCCAAGGGCTCCGGCCAGGTACCTTAACTGCTCGCGTCGTCGCGATTGTCACTGGTGGCTCGGTTTGATCTATTCGTTTGAGGTCTGGGATGTGGAAGCTGGGCCTTGGCGATTGGTCGGGTGGGGTTTTGGAACGGGGTTACGACCAGCGGCTAGGTTTTTGTCTAGGTTTCGCCCTTGGAAGTTTGACGTTTTAGCATTGCCTTGGCAGTGAAGTGAGTGAGATCGATTTCGCGCTGCTTAAAAGCTCAACAGTTGGATGCGCACTGCTTACTATAGGGCTCATAGGTTCTTTGCCTACGAGTTGCAACTGACTCAAATTGGATATATTGTCTCTATGCAACATTGTGATCGTGATATTTCATCATGAGGTGTAGATTTGGAGAAAGGATCAAAGGAAGAGATATGTGCTGCTTACATATTAGGCAAAGCTCAACAATAATAGTCATCATATTGTTTACATATTAGGCAAATGATCTGTGTTAGAATAGAATGTACTGTTTCTTTTTCACAGTTAAGGACTATTTCAAGCATTTTCCTGGCATGACCATACACCGTACATACTAAATCAGTCTGCACAGTCTGATCTACAGGGCATTTAGTACCAAGTGCTATCCTACACTATATAACCCGCTCTCATCAAAATAAGCAGTCTAGATTTTTTCTTACGAATAATCTACGTTGTTATAATCTGCAGAGTCTTTTTCTGCAGAAGTAATCTGCACCGCTATAGTCTGTTTCCATCTGACTGAACGGTCTAGATTTATTTCTTTTTTATAAGACCAATCTGGACTTCTATAATCATGTCGCACCCAAACAAGCGTTGTCATATATCCCTTTTTTCTGGACTAATGTGAGTATTTCTAGATATTTTGGACCAAGATGGGGTTTTTATCCCTCGAATAAATCATTATTATGTTTGCTCCCTAGCTAGCATGTAAATATTTCTATTTCTAGCATTTGCCGCATATATATATCAGAAGACCCAGAGCCGAGGCTGGTTCGAACCCATGACCTCCAGGCCACAAGTGGAAGGGCTCTGCCACTGCACCAGGTCCGCTCTTCAGATCAGAAGAACAAAATAAGGAAATAAAATCATGTGCTTCAGCTCACAAATAAATATGTTAGAAATAGGTAAAAGTAGAATAGGTTTATTGCCATCGACAGTATTTTTCTTGGGAACCACAAACTAGTTTGGCGGAGACAAATCAGGAGGGGAGAAAAATTTCGGAAGAAAACAAGAGTAGTAGGTAGTACCTATGCTTTGTCCGACAGCAAAAGGGAAACCGAGATGGACCTCCAGGCCACAAGTGGAAGGGCCCTGCCACCGCACCAGGTCCGCGCTTCAGATCAGAAGAACAAAATAAGGAAATAAAATCACGTGCTTCAGCTCACAAATAAATATGTTAGAAATAGGTAAAAGTAGAATAGGTTTATTGCCATCGACAGGATTTTTCTTGGGAACCACAAACTAGTTTGGGGGAGACAAATCAGGAAGGGAGAAAAATTTCGGAAGAAAACAAGAGTAGTAGGCAGTACCTATGCTTTGTCCGACAGCAAAAGGGAAACCGAGATGGAGAAGAGAGTGGGAATTGTGAGAAGTGAATGGGTGGCTTGTGGACATGGGCAATTAAATGCTTTGCTAATCTTTAGCTAACTCATGATTAATACTCCCTCCTTCCCAAAATATAAGGCGCCGATTGACTTTTCTGGTCTTTGTTACACAAATTTGACTATGATTTTCATGTATTATATGTCTACAGAATTAGTATACAGACATATGAAATAAAATTGTTTTGAAAGGCAAATACGATGATGCCATTTATACATGTTTAATCCATGCACTCTGGTATATATGAGCAGTCAAAGTCGTGCATCAAAGGCTGTGCAAAGTCAATCACGCCTTATATTTTGGGAAGGAGGGAGTACTAGTACTAATAGAGTGCTGAGTAAAGTTAGCCCCCCTGCGCAGTTGAGCAGGCTACACCTGCTTGAGATGTCAGGCTGCCTGGCACTTCTTTCTATATTTGCTCATGAATCATGCTATCTTTTGTATCAGGTGTTACTTCCTGTGGAGGTTACCAGTGCACTGGAGGATGAGATCTTGATTATTCGCTTCAATGAAGTGCTTCCTCTTGGGGAGGGAACGTTGGTAATTGCATTCCAAGGAACTTTGAATGATAAGATGAAGGGTTTTTACAGAAGGTAATCATTTGATATCTGAAAGGTTTATATTTATAAAGATATTCACAATATAATCTTTTCCCTTTTGATTGTTAGTGTGTATGAGCTCAATGGGGAGAAGAAGAACATGGCTGTAACCCAGTTTGAACCTGCTGATGCAAGGCGCTGCTTCCCATGCTGGGATGAACCGTCTTTCAAGGTTTAAGGCTTTGCTTCTTTACTTTCTGTTTTTGGCTGATACTGTACGTTTGGTATTACATCCGTTGTGCCGGGGAAGGGAAGAAATGCGTGACGTATAGTGTTCATGTGGATTGCTATTCCTTATAGTTGGCTTTCGTGAAGTCCATGAAATTTTGTGTGATGTTATCTGTTCTGTACAATTTGGCTGTTAACTGGTTAGTATTCCACTTTGTTGGATTAGTAAATTCCGTGTTTTCAATCTTTTGTTTACTCGAGCTCTCGATTTGAACCAAACAATTTGGCCGCACAGGTTGGATGTTTCCTTCAACCCTATGGGATACACTTCCATGATGCCTGATTATATTCATCGGGAGCAGCATCGTTTGATTTGAACCTATACCTTAATGAGATATAATGCTTGCTTCAAGTTGCTTTGGAGTCATAATATGACTAGAATTAACAGTATAAACATGTGCAATTTTTGTTTTTTGTTTTTCAATGAAGGCTAAATTGGTGATGTATCAGTTCACCCACTGTTTAGAAGGGTGCATCTTTTGAACAGAAGGATTAAATATTAAGCAGACTTATATTACATATCAGTCATACTTTTGGGTTTAACTGTTCCTTTTACCCATGCAGGCTGTATTCAAAATTACTCTTGAAGTTCCGTCTGAGACCGTTGCTTTGTCAAATATGCCAGTTGTTGAAGAGAAGGTTAATGGTCCTACAAAAATTGTCTACTTTCAAGAATCACCGATAATGTCAACATACCTTGTGGCCGTTATTGTCGGCATGTTCGACTATGTAGAAGCTTTCACAGCGGATGGTACTGTAGCTCCTCTGCAACATTACTTACCATAGATCTCTCTTTCGCTTTCACCTCTTGGTGGTTCATGCCTTGAATTTAACTGGCCTCATTTCCGCTTTGCAGGTACTAGTGTTCGTGTTTACACACAGGTTGGTAAGAGTGCCCAGGGGAAGTTTGCGCTAGAGGTTGCTGTGAAGACACTGATCCTCTTCAAGGAGTAATTTTCTGATCTCGTGCCCTAGTATTGATTAACAATGTCGCCTTGAGCTCTTGCCGTAGTTCTCTCTAGATGCTGTATTTCTTAAACCCAATAGTGTTGCCTAGGAAGTTCTGGTACTCTAATAATTACCAAAACATTCTGATGTAAATAATACTACCATTGCACATAGCTAGTCAAACCGATGCACCTCTGCATTCTGAAACATTAGTTCCATATGTTGATCTATATGTTTTAGTTTGAGGCGTTTGTGTATATGCACTTGACTGGGAGCCATGTATTTTCCCCTCTATATGCAATACAACTTTATCAAATATTGCTTTACAATCCCATTTTTGTGATGCGATGATTACTAAGGCGGTAAGGCCCAGTTCTTTTGGCGGGTTCTGAAATAAGCTGCCCCCTCCCCAGCTTATTTTAGAAGCACATTTTAGAAGCTTCTAAAATAAGCTGGGGAGGGGGCTGCTTATGCCATAAACCATCAAAAGAACAGGGCCTATGTCCCATAGGTTGAAATGGTGACCTTTCCCAGAGATGGCATTTGTGTCTACAATAAGTCTTTCCAATTTGTAAAATGATTTTTATGCTATGATGATTTATCAAAATTTTACCCCTTCTGGAAACCTTTTCAAGTGATTGTATTTATTTGAGTATCTGTCACCTAAAACTGTATTCATGGGTTCAGCTAATAATGGCTCATTTGTAATTGTAGGTACTTTGCTGTGCCATATCCTCTCCCAAAAATGGACATGATTGCCATTCCTGATTTTGCTTCTGGAGCGATGGAGAACTATGGCTTAGTTACATACCGTGAAACAGCTTTGCTATTTGATGAGCGACACTCTGCAGCTGCTAATAAACAAAGGGTAGGTACTATGTGTCCCCTTCTGAGACCCATGGGATCATTCTATGGGGTTTTATTGTTTCATCCATTCACTAAGTTGGGAATGTGGTTCTCGATCGTCATTAGATCTTTTACAAAGACACATGAAAATATTTTTAGTTGTATCAGTGCACAATGCTGAATCTGATAACAAAATCAAAATTTTCTCTCGGCTGGCAATTAACAAACATAAGCACTGATAGATGCTACAAGTCATTTTGTTGAGTAAGTATACATATGCTGTTTGCTGGCCATGTGCCATTGACACCATCCTATAAAAACTAATTAGTTAATTCCTTCTTATCCGTCCAGGTTGCAGTTGTTGTTGCACATGAATTAGCTCACCAGTGGTTTGGAAATCTTGTGACTATGGAATGGTGGACACACCTATGGCTTAACGAAGGTTTTGCAACATGGGTAATAAACTGAAAACACCAAAAATATCAAGAACTTACAATTATTTCATGTTGTTGCTCATTTAATGTTGCTGTCTTGGCAGGTATCCTACTTAGCTGCAGATCGTTTCTTTCCAGAATGGAATGTTTGGATTCAGTTTCTAGAGGAATCTACAACAGGTTTCAGGTTGGATGCCCTTGCAGGGTCACATCCAATTGAGGTAACAATTATGTCGTCACTGTCAGCATGCTATGATATGACTTTTTAGGGATCTGCACTCATGTTGGACAGGGGAGATATGTCAGTTTCATATTTTTAAATGTCATGTTTACCTGAGAAAAATAGAAAATGCCTTGAGAATTTGGATTGCCATATGCTTGAGAAGCTTTCTAGATCTTTTATGTGCATGTAC